ATGGAGTTCCTTCAATCACCAATGGTTTGATTGAGGCTATTTTGCCAAAATCTTGAAATGCATCTTTAATTAGCATTGTTATCTCTTCTTTCCCTCCCAATGGAACATTCCTAAATTTTACCTGAAGAAAAGACTTGCATGAGTCTGTTGGGATATATCCAAAGTATGTTTTGTTAAAGATATTGATGCCTTTGGCTGCATAGATACCCAGAGTGGTTCTGTTAGTAAAAACAATCTCTAAGTGTGTGCGATTTCCTTTTTTGAAGTATTGTTTTGCTGCTATGATATCCTGTTTAATGCTTTCATAAAGCGAGACCATTATTTCATTGAAAGAGCTTTGGATATCTTGTATTTCAATAATTAATGCATTTTCGTTTTTGGTTCTTATTTGCTCTCTGGGAGAGAAAGCTGCATAGGTTGATTGGCTTCTTCTTAGTTTGAGAAATAAACTTGACCACTTCTTAGTTGTTGTATCTTTTGGTTGATTAAAATCCTCCTTGGCTTTTCCTTTGGAAGATGAACTTCCAATATATGGGTTGTGTTCAGAAAATTCTATGGCCCCTAGTCTATTTTGTTCTCGTGATTGATCTTGATCTACATTCATTGGATTTTGCACGTGTTCTGTAATGTAACTTGTTTTGTTGTTGTTTTGTTATTCATCGCTTTTATGTATTAACGTGTTTGTAGAAGTTGAGCCTTCTGCAGTCTTTTCAACTATTTGTGTTAACATTGCTGTATTCGCAATAGTTTCTTCTCTTTGATGTTGTTTTGACATACTGTTTATTTCTCTTTGTTTGTTCAAGAGAAAATTTTGTATTTTTAATTTTTTGTTGCAAGTTTCTTGTATTCCAAGAGGAATATGTTTTCTTTTCTTTGGTACAAGGGCTAGTGCTCTTGTTGGGCCTTGTTTTGGGTAGTTTGTAAACTTGTATTGAGTAGTTATCGTGTATATTGTTTTACACTCTTTCCCTTACGAATTTGTTCGGGAGAGAGTTTGTATCGATCAGTTTATATATATAATATAAAATTAATATATATATTATAAAATTAAATAACTATAATTTTAAATAAAATTAAAACAAAATATATACTAACCATTTGAATCATTTGTTTAGTAGCATTACACTTATTACTAGCTCTATATGGTTTTTTTACAAAGTTTTTGTGCTTAGTTTCATATGTTTCTTTAGTGTAACTATTAATTGCACCAAACTTCTTAATAGCTTTGACAGTATGATAATACCAATTATGCAATTTAGGTAGTCAAAGCTCTGATGGTAAGTAACTTTTAAAAAGTTTAACAAATAATCTTGCCCAATTCATAATTAAATTCTGTAATATAGTAGATTAATTTAATTAATATATCTTAATAAATGAAAAAATAATAAATAAATAAATATAAATAAATTTACCTTAAATTCAACAAGATCTGATTCTAAAAAATATTCTCTTCAGCTAAATAAATATATCTTATTTCAGTGGTAATAAACTTCAACAAGTGCATGATTATATCATTTTGCAACACTTTCTTCAATTAATATTTTATGATACTTTATAATAATTCCTTCAACAACAAAAGAAAAACCTTCATCATATTGCGAAATTCATCAGCTTTAAAGTGTTTGATATTCCCAAGACCTTTATTAAACACTTTAAGTCTGGGAAATCTTGAAATTTTTGCTAACTGGATATTAAGCTCATCAATTGCTATTTTCCTACAAATATTATTTAATAATTTACAGGTATATTCCACTTGATATTTAAACAATCCTAGGTCTAAGTAATGCATTTTATCCAGAATTGTAGCCAGATAAATATTTAATTAGCTAATATTTATTAAATAAGCATATAATATATTATTATATATATTTGTTATAAAATTTAAGTTACATTAATATATACTCACAGATATTTTCAGAATATGTTTTCCATATTGTATATGAAATATTGTTTTGTAAGACCTTGATTTATAATAGTTTTCATTTGTTCAGGAGTTCTTAAAATAATCTGGTTATCATTTAGCTTGATATCATTCATTTTATCAACTGATACTAAGCTTCTGTAACATGGATATTTACAATTGACAGAATTATATGTTAATGTTAATAATAAATGTTCTGGAATGTTATCTAAAAAGTCTGAAACAAATGGGTAGCACTATAAATTTCTATTATTCGTCTGAAGATCAAACCCATTGTCCTTATAATCAAGTATTGGTTTTAAAATTTCATCCAAAGAATGTTGGTATGCAAACCGTTTTGTAAATAAAAAATTACTAGAATTCTTTTGTATAGCTAATTTTGGTTTTATAATTGGAAGATAAGCAAGGAGATTCTTAGTGTCTGGTTTATTCCTCCTCCAACTAGGAATATTACCTAATGTCAAATAAACAGGATGTTCATTTGTCTTTCCAAGCTGATCACATATGGTTGCATCAGAATACAATATTATTGATAGAACATTTGCTTGGTTGGAAATTGTTTTTTTGTATTTCTTCCTACCATTCTCCATTAAATTGTTCATTATATATTCATTGTTCATCATAGTACAATGGTGAAAATTCGAAAATATAATGATTAAGTATGTCCTTATTGGTTAATAATTTCTTAATACAATCAAAAATTGGACAGTAATTTAAATAGTATATATCTTTTTCATATTCTATTATTGGTATTTTCTTAAAAAAATATGTGATACAATAATTTTATCTAAAAACTGCTTCCCTTGTTAAATTAAGGTAGGTAAGATTATATTGTCATATAATACTTTGTTTAAAAAATGAAGTATTTCACCACCGCATGTATCAGACAAGTTCTATTTGATAACTAATTTCATAAAGTTACCAAATTCTTTACTCAGAAAATTTGATATATTCTCAATGTTTATTAATCTAATATCCAGAGACTCAAAACCTAACGAAGGTTCAACCTAAAACAATTGATATTCCACAATATTCATCTATGTATGTACATACATATATGCAAAAATATAATTGTTTGTATTACATCAATATTGAGCATTTAAAAATATTTTAATATATACAATATATATATACATATATATACATATTAGAGTTGTAGGTGAAACTGGCTAAAGTTGCAGTGAAACTGGTGAAAATTTGTTGAATACAGTAAAACTTAATAGGCTGAAACTATAGCAAGTTGAAACTGTAGTAAGCTCAAACTCTCAAACTTAGCCTTACTCGCAACTCTAATAGATGATTATATGTACTACATACAATATATACTTCTTCTATTTCATCTATTTCATCAAATTCTGCTTCATCATCTTCAAATTCTGCTTCATCATCTATTTCATTATCTATTTCATTATTTCTATCATCTGCTTCATTGTCTATTTCATTATCTATTCATTAATTCTATCATTTCTTTCTTTGCTATAATCAGACTATAAACCATTTGTTATTTCATAATCTATGTGGTCTCCAAATCTTGGTTCAATATTTTCTATTTCTTCTCTAAAACCTAATACAAAACTACCAATTTCATCTTCTAGTTGATTATCATCCCATTAATTAGCTTGCTGCACATTTCTTAATATATTACTTCTCTTTTCTATAGTAGCTTCTTGAAGAAGGTTTTCAATTATATTATTGTGAGTTTTTATATGGTTGCGATAAGAAGAATGACGACTAAAGTATCTATCACAGCTCGGTTCAGAACACTTGTACATTATATACTTATATAAATATTGCAGGTTAGACTAAAATCCAATAATAGAGTTAAAATTATGATTAGATAAAAAATCTTAGATAATGTTTGAAAGTCTACAGTTAAAATATAGGTATTACACTAGTATTTATATTTGTTATACCAGATCTTTTCATTCAAAATTCTTTATTAGATTTGTACTACTAATAATGCACATATATAGTTCTTAGCTCTTCGAAAATTTAACTAAATTTTTAACTAATTGAGCTGATTCTATTTCTAATTGTAATCTCTTTAACAATAAGCTATACTTTATCCTTTATATGTTAAGAAGCCTATAATGTCTTGTTCGCTGAAATTACAAACTAAATGTGATAATTTATATTTATAATAGCATTGAAGTAAAAAACCTTTATTAAGAATAAACTTAAAATTTTTTATGTTTCAGAATGAAAAACCTAAAATTTTTTACGTTTCTGAATGAAAAAAACAATATACTACACCCAAGTTAAGTTAAAGACCTTTATTAAGAATAAACCCAAAATTTTTTACATTTCAGAATGAAAAACCTAAAATTTTTTACGTTTCTGAATGAAAAAAACAATTTACTACACCCAAGTTAAGTTAAGGACCTTTATTAAGAATAAACCCAAAATTTTTTACGTTTCAGAATGAAAAACCAAAAATTTTTTATGTTTCTGAATGAAAAAAATAATATACTACATCCAAGTTAAGTTAAAGACCTTTATTAAGAATAAACCCAAAATTTTTTACATTTCAAAATGAAAAACCAAAAATTTTTTACGTTTCTGAATGAAAAAACAATATACTACACCTGAGTCATGCTAAAGTTAGTGTAGTTAAACTATTCAGTAACTTAATGAAAATGCTTTACTGCTGTTTATATTAGAATATAAGTCGACAATTGATTTTCAATATCTTTTGTTTTATTATAATATGATTTCATGATCATTTCACTATAATATTAATCAATCATACTCTAGTGCAATAGTTAATAAAAGACTACTAATAAGGTGGCTTTCTTGAAATCATGTCTGAAAACTTTTCTATCCTTTATATTCTTTTTAATATTATATCAAGAATTATAATGTGCTATTAAACAACTATAATGAACCAAAAATTTGTGCCTAGATCAAGTAGACAAAAAACTTCAAACAATGATGCATAACACAGTAAAATTTCTGTTGAATCATAATATTGCTTTTTAAAAAAAAATTTATTATGTCGCTCAAAGTAAAAAATTAAAAATTTTGAATTTTACAAGACAATTTACACATTGAATGATACACTCCGGACACTATTCAATACTTCATTCAAAATTATTTTATGTTATAATAGATATGCATGTCCGCAAACACATTAAACTGTAGGTCAAGTTGCAAAATTTTAAATTTTACCATTTAACATATTGAATATTTAATTTTCGACCTTTTTTTTTTGTACAAATGAATGGATTAATGTGTATCTATATGTTTATGGATCAAGTTTTTAGCAAATTGCATTCAGATGAATATGCTTTATTCAAGAAACTTTTTTATTAAGCAAATAATTTATATTCCCTTAAAATTGAACATAAATTTGGAAACCAAATTCAATGCTTATGAAAATCATATGAAGCTAATTATATTTATCAAGAAAAGTTACTAGCTGATGAATTTCAAAAAAAAATTGTCAGAAAATTAATCAAATCATTAAGAAGCAATGACAATTTCAAAATTTAAGAATTCATCCTTTAAGAAATTTAGAAGAAATTGTGTGATAATTAATTTTTAGAAGGAATTGTTTTTATAGATTATTATAAGTTGTTATCATTAATATATACATTTTTGAATGTATTAAATAAATATATAACTCTCTTTTTGTTTTGATTAGAGTGTAATACTGTAATTGTGCTATTGAAGTTTTTTGCCTATCTCTCTAGATAAGAAATCAACTTTATTCATGATATAAGCTAAATGATTCATTTATTGATTAATTATTAAAGATCTCTATTGATTAATCTGAAAGGCTGTTATATCAGTCATTCAAGGAAGAATTATAAGATGTATGAGTTGTAAGTCAACTGAATCAATTGGCTATTCAAATATTTTGAATAAGCACGATCTGGTATATATAATGTATTTACAAATGAGTTATGAATTATAACTTCTATTATTTAACAAATTATTCTACAAAATTTCTACAATCGGAAAGTCAAAGTTCTTACCATTTGTTGGTAAATTTTCTTTGTCGTCTGTTGGTGCCTTCTCTATTATGTTATGTAATTATTAACAAATTCTTTTACAAAATTTTAGATCAGAATTTCGAAATCTAATAATATAACCATGTCGCATAATATAAGACGATAAGTATTTTCAAATTAGTTTGCGTATGTATATTTCAACTCAGATAGCTGACATGGCTAATAAGCAATATGCATAATGATTAATTTTAGAATAATATAAAATGAAAGGATTTCATTTTATTGCTCTTGTCAATTAATACTAACTCACTATGAGATGAAAAGGCAAAAAAACTAATTATACATATATATCCTTTAATCTTAGTTCTTTGCGCCAACCCAAATGATCATCAGCCGAACAACATGCAACGGGCAATAATGAAATATCAACCAATTCACTTCGAACTTCGTTGCAGCTAAAATCAACAACTTTAAACACCTTAACTATGTCATTACAATCAACCACCTCGGTACAAGCAACAAAATTAAATGTCTCATTAGAGTCAAACTCTTTACCTAAAAAAAAGGAAAGCTGCTAACCAAGCGGCTAATACAGAAACTCCTGATTCTCTAATGACTACTACTAATAATACAACTACTACTATTAATGATAAGTCATTAGGTAGTAGAAAAGGATTACCAATGAACTTTGTATGTTTTTTTTTTTTTTTTTACTGTATATTTTAAATTTTAACACATATATTATAATTTAGTCTCAACTCCGAGTTGTTATCCTTCACGTAACTTCTCTAAATGATAAAAGCCCAGGTTAATATTTATTTTATTCATTTTTATTTTATCTTTTTTAATATATAAGTTAATTATATATTATTTAATAGAGCAACCTATTACTGATTCATGCACGTTGACAAAGATCTTACACATTGGACAAAGTAATAAATCACAACTTAAGCATCTTTCTAGAGGCTATGCGAAACTCAAATATCTTATTAACGAACAACGATTACAGCTTGAAAATATCCTTAAAAAGTTGAATAATGTTAGGGAAATATATAATTCTGTTAAGGTTAAAAGTAAAGGAAAAAAGCTATCAAAGAAAATAGCAGATTATTTATTTCAAATAGATTCTCATTAAACTAATAAATAGATTGACTTTTTTGTATTATGTTAATATCTATATTTGTTGCATATACTTTAGGAAGCAATTAAACAACTTTTATCCGAATTATTTCATAAGTATAAGCAAATAAGCGACGAAGAGATGAAGTTGCTACTCAAAGATAAGTTAGAAAATGACAGATTGTGCTAAGCAATTACAATGTTTGAAAGAAAATGAATTTTTATTCGATAAGTTGTGGAATGAAAAATTTTATTCAGATGTAGGTATTCTTTACTTTCATTACCCTGCTGATCATTTCTCTTACAAGCAATTTACCCAATATCAACAGGTAACAATTTATATTAATATATATCTGCAATTTACTTAACTTTATTATTATATAATATCAGATAAATGATCTATAAAAGAAATGATTATCAGACTACTTTAATTTGCATACTAACTTTGTTTATAGATGCTATCAGCAAATCGTGTAAAGAAAGGATACTATGTTCGTCAAATTAAAGAAGGTCTCTGGGATACCTTTAGCATTAGTAAAGTAAAACTGTTTAATGAATATAATATTAAAGAACAAATAAAAAGGTGGAAAGAGGACTCCAAAAAAGTTTATGCAGAATTATACAATTCAAGCAATCTAAATGACCCAAATTCAGATACTTTTCTTGCTTTAATCATTAAATATACTTTTATATCTGAAGATGAACGTACTTATGCTAATACTATTTAGACACAGGCTGTTTTTGAACTTATTTTTGATGAAAATTATCTTTCAGCAAAACTTGACTCTGACATTGTTGATACATGGCCAAAAACCTTTAATGGAAGCAAATGATATAGTATATTCGTTTTAATTGTTTTTTTTTTTTTGTTTATTTTATTTTTAATGTTATTTTTTTTTTAGAATAAAAAAGACGCTTGCACCTCTTTTGCAAACTTACAAGTTGGATCTTTAGATTCGATGAATATTGACAATCTTTATGAAAACTTGCTTAACTCTGACTCTGAAAGCCATCTAAGCGATAACGGTATTGAAGATAATGATAGTGATGATAATTATGACCCCGGTCTTTAAAAATAACAATGATAGTACATTTTTTTGAAGTTGTTAATCGACGAATAGCTTCTTTAAAGGCTAACATTATTTTATTTAAAATATTATACTAATTTTCTATAATTTAATATACATTT